TCTCTGGCTCTCATCATCTCACCAAATCAGCAATCTCTTCTCACTGCCCTCCATTAATAAACTCACCTTCATAATTTGGAATAACAGAATAACTTTTACAGTGGTCCCCACTCCTGTGAAGCTTTCTCCCTGCCATTGCGGTGACCAGAGTGACCCCTGTGTTAAATCAGCTTTTGCTTAATAGAAAGAAACTGTTTTGGGGTCCTCTTCTGCAAACTGACCTTATGGCCCTGACGTCTGGCAGCTTTAGTAATCAGAATCATGATCTGAATTCATTGTAGAGCCAAATATGTTTGCTTTTCCAAGTCAAGCTTTATAAACACTACATGTTCTTTGCATTTTTTTTTCTTTTATTCAGTCATTCTTTGATATTATTATTTTTCATGATTACGCATGTTATATAGCAATGCAAGAGGAGACAGAAGCACTATAAGAGAAATGGAGATTGTAAAAAGGACAAAGGGTAAGAATAAAAGTCAGAGCACAAGTAGAAAAACACAACGAATTACTAACTGCTGTACCTGCAAGAGAACAATCCAAGTAAAGCACCTGAGTGAAACAAAAATGGACACACAAACCAACAATTGCATGTGTGTGTCCATCCCAGCCGCCTTTTCATATTTTAATATGATTCATATATTGCATTATTTTATACACAATAAATAAAATAAAGCATCTTTATCGCCGAAAGTGTTTCCAAACACCAGATGTCCTTTTTAAAGTTTCATGATAAGTTAACAGGAGAATTTAAAGCCATACCAAAGACCTTATGGGAGACGGTTTGGCCAAAAGGTGGTGCCCTGCATCTACTTGACTCTTACCTACTACATTAATACTTATTAGAGACACATTGCACCACACATAACATTTATTCATTGTGTTGCTGGGGCCAAACCTGTGGAACATCTGGACCAATAGCAAGTGGCACACAGACTAGAGAGCATTGTGCAGCCAAATCACTGAATCTGTGGAGTAACAAAGAGATAGCATTACCAAGAGAGGGAACCTTTAGGCTCAGGTTTCACAACAGTGCCAGAGCAGCATGTGCAGTACAGTACATGATGATGATGATGATGATGATAAATGCCAGAGCCAAGTGGAGCTTTTTTGACAGCATTTATGTTCTCATAACAACTCTTGATGTTTTGCTGATATTACATATTTGATATTTTCCA